TGACAGGGCTCCCTGGGGACTCTGTGGGCTGATGGTGGCCATTCTCCTGCCCACTCCTGCGCTATGGCTGCTGGCTCAGGTGGAGCTGGTACCTCCCCAGCCAGCAGCCCTTTCCTCCTTCTCTACAGGGCAGCATGCTGGGGTTTTGTGGGGGGCTTTTTCAGGGGGAGGGTGTCTTCAGCTGCAATTAAACATTGCCATTCCCAGGACTTGGTAATAGTGGCTCCCAGGTGGGAAGTAAACTCCTGCTGTTGTATTTTCTTGCTGCCTACTAGGGAAGATGATGTAAGGAGTCTGAGATAGAGCATCTTTTTATCACAGCATTTTTAGGTACAGATTGCAAAGTCCTTTGGTAAAAGCAAATGTTGTAATCCCTGCTTGATGATTAGGAAACAGTGGGGAGGGAGCCAAGTGGTTTCACCATGGCAGCGAGTCAGCAGAAAAGCTGTGAATCACATCACTGCCTCTGTCCTCCTTCTCTGAGGACTGCTTTGCCTTCCCCCAAATATTTTTATAACTGTGCTTACCACATTCCCAGCTTGAGGAGTTTTTGCCTGCTTGATGGTTTGTAGAAAACCCCTACCATATATATCAGCTCGTAGAGCACCTAGCCGTGTTGTAGCCTGCTGTGGTTGTAAGGTGTGTCTGACCTGGCCCTCCAACCCAGAGGTGCAAGCTTTGAGGGCCAGAGGCTGCTGCAGGTATCCTGAGACAATGCGTGTCCCTGCAAATGAGTGGGGACATTTTCCTGGGAACTGGTACAAAGGGACTGTGACGCTGGAGGACGGTCTGTGAAGCGAGGTGTCCAGTAAGTGTATGGACTTACTGTGGACACCTCAGGTCTTTGCCAGCCTCTCCACCCCAACAACCACATAACGCCCCCCGTGTCCTGGCCAGGCTCCAGCGTGAGTCATCACCCATTTTAACCTCCCGGAGCTCCTCCAGCAGATGCATCAGGGTGTCCTCAGCAGTACGGAAGAGTGTGTCTCTGTGCCATCGGAGAGCTGATGTCTTCTGTCCCGGCGCTGCCTTCAGGGCCCCTGCCTGAGCACTGCTGTGGAGTTCAACGCCTGCACATGTTCTTCACACAGGTTGCGTGGCGTCACTCACAGGGGCTGGGAGACCAGGCTGGCTTAAAAAAGCTATGAGGGTTGTAACCATGACTTGTTGCCAGTGTAAATTGAAAGCCTTAATAGCGTGTGTAGGGCATATTACAGTACATCAAGGTATGATATCCTCTTTACTGGCACCCTCCAGGGAGCCAGGAGACAGTGTGGCAACAGGATTATGGTTTGCAGATGATATGCATGATAACTTCACCAGACATATGCACCTGTTTCCCTCACTAAGCAGATGTTCAAGAGGCTGTTAAGAGAACATCAGCCTCTTGACAGTGCAGCAGAAAATGCCATGTAACCGTGCTTGTTCACATCGCTGCACCCACCACCTCTGCTGCTGGAGCAGCCCTGCCCTGGCACACTGAAACCCCAGCCCCTGGGGCAGACCAGATCAACTCAGCATTTGAAGGCTGAGCCCTTTCCTGGCTTTCTGCCCAGGCAAATCCCAAAGCCAGGAAAGGGAGTTTCCCCGTGTCAGGACGGCAAGGTTTGGCTGGCTCAGTGCCTGGGGTGTCAGTCTTCTTGCTATCTCACTCATGCAGCAGCAGCTACAATCATTTCCATGTGATGGCAAGCATCTTTAAACACAGCCTGGCAAGCTGCACGAGACATAGAGAGACCCACTTTGCACTGGAATAGACTTACCGCAAGGGTGGAAAGAGATGGACTTCTTGGCGTCGTATTGTACTGTCACTCTGGACCTCTAACTTCAGGATTTTTTTTTTTTCCCCTGTTTTACATCGTTTTTCCCAAATGCAAAATGAGCCTTTTGGATTAGTTTGCGTATCTGTGAATGGTAGCTGACGGTAATCCCTGTGGGAGAGCAGAAGTGTGAGCTGCCCCACAAACCTTCCTGTGTCTTAACCAGACTGTCGGCAGAGGATCTCTCCCCTGCATGAGCAAGCAAACCAGCCTGTGGCCTGAAGGTGAAGCTGCCCCAAGGTAACCTGTGTGCCACAGTATTTCTAACTCAGCAGTTTCCAGCCTGTGGCCTGCAAAAGGCGTGAATTATTTCTATAGGATCTGGAAAAGGTAATGAAGAAGAGGTAGGTGCGCATTTACTGTGCAGGAGCCAGCACCTAGACAGGGAAGCATTTGGCGTTCACAGATTGGAAAAGACTGAGAATGTCCTCTCTAATTCTGTGGGAGGGAAACAAAACCTGCACTTGCATCTTCCATAGTGTGCAGTGTTTAGGAAAACAAGTCATATTAGATGAGAAGTGCATTAGCAGGGGTGTCATTACATTATCACTGATAACCTCTAATCTAGATGAAACTTCATGCATGGTGTTACAAACCTGTGCAAGTGTGTGCAGTCAAGCAAAGGGGAGACCTGTAATTCCCTGCCACGGCCTGCTGCTCTGACTGGTAGCAGCAGTAGAAGTAATCATCTCATCAAGATTTGGGGGACTCTGTGCATGCGTGGGCAAATTCCTGAATGCTGGCTTGGAGGGTTGGGGTGCGTGCGTGGAATTTAAGATCTGATTTTTGCCATAGTTAGTAAGATTTCTTCCCCATCACCCTCACCCTTGCAAAAGAAGACGTCTTCCCAAGTGTCGAATGGAAGCAGGGAGAACTACACAGAGGCCATCCAAGAACCCTTGGATGACCTCAGGGGTCCGTGCTGTTTGTACACAGTGAGAATTGCCGTGATTATGGTCCGGGAACAAGCCCTCACTGCTTCAGTGAAATACGTGTCACGTGCAAGGTGCAGGTGTGTTGCCCCAAACACCAGGCTTAAAGTGACTCTGTGCCCATCCTCCTCATTTTCATCTCCTGGAGGTGCCGCGATGTGTGAAGAGCACTGGGAGGGATGCTTGCATCTCAGCAGCTCTGGTCTGTGCATACCCCGGCTTTGTCTCTGTGTGCGTGTTGATATTGAGCAAACCCACCACACACAGCATGTGTATATACTGCATTTTAATAGATATAGGGCGACTGACTTAACATACACAGTTGCTATAGTAACAGAGGTTTCCTTAGTAACGGTTGCAGAAAATGATCCAGTACCAATTAAAAATAAACTGTTTGGAAAGGAGGCTGGGGGAGAAAGGAAACTGCTGAGAATCACCTTCCTCTTTATTGTTTCATCTCCCAGGGACTTGGAAGATTGATTAATGCTTGAAATAACCTTTCTTGCAAACGGTGAGCCAAAAACGTGGGACGAGCGTGGGTGTGGTGGCTAAGGCTGCTGTCCTGAAGTGAAACAAAGGTGAAGGAGTGTGTCTGGGGTATGGCAGAAATACAACAGGGTGATGCTAAATCTCTCCATTAGGTTGAAGTCCCCAGGGAGGAAAAACAAGAGACTATTTCCCTCCTTCCCTCCCTCCACTGTCTGTGTGCCATACCCATAACACAGCCATCGAGTCTTTATTAGCATACTGATTAAAGCCACGGGCAATCGTGGCTCCAGGGTAACGTGCTTTACCAGGTTGCCTATCTTAGATGCTGTGTTAGAGCAGAAAGCGTCGCTGTGGTGGGAGTTCCTCCCTCCCATTTGATGTTGTTTACTCGTTCTCTCCCTTGGTGCCATCGCTCATCGCTTGTGCCGACAGGCATCCAAGACCCTGGGGCCCAAGGGAAGCTGGAAGCAAAGCATGATGCAAAGCGAGGACCCTGTGCCTCAGTGAGAGAGAGGAGACAACGTTGCTTCTTGGCAAACGCAAGATGCGTGGGACATGTTTGCAGGGTGCGGATGGGCACAGCTTCCCTGGCAGCTTTCAGTTGAAGTGTGCCTGGTGGTGCCACACTTCTGTCGTGCCACTCGTGCCCAGGGTGCTCGCTAGGTTTCGTTAAGAAGTTTACCCATTGTCAGCAGAATCCCTTCACCTGGCAGCAAGACAGCATGCCCCCTTTCAGAGGGGAGCTGCCGTGCAAGGGGAGGAGAAGGAGGGGAGGTGGTGGCAGAGCTGCTGGGAGGAGTGGTGTGTCCAGCCAGGAGCTGCTCCTCTTCTCGAGTCTGTAGCCAGCAGAGCTCCAGGGCACGCCAAGTACAAGTGTCAGAGGAGGGTGCTTCGTGTCCTCCACTGGGAATGCTCTGGGTCAAGGCTGGGGTGACAGGCACAGCCTGAGCGCACCCAGCAGAGGCTTTATCACACGCTTCTGCGGAGAGAGGGGAATCAGAAACTGGTGAGTCTCTTTCCTTGCAGGGACAAGAGCTAGTGATGCTGCCACGTCATCCTTGACACTGTGTGACCGCTAGCTACCCCTGTGGGAACTGCAGTTGTTCTTGGGAAGCCAAGGGAGGTGACCTGCCAGTGGCTTTTGGAGGACCTGGAGCCAGATCTCCTGGCTGTTGGAGCAGAGCTTGCTCCCTCCTGATCCTTTCCAGTCTGGTGCTCTTTCTTCTCTTCCAGTTGTGCCCGCGTTTGCTTCTCTAGCTATTGCATGTCTGTGGGTTATGCGTCACTGAGATGGCTAGCATGTGACAGCAGTAGTGTCTTGTTTAATTCACTCTTCCTGGAAATGTTTTTCTCTGGAACTGGTCAACAGCTCGTTGCCCTGAGGTGCAAGTGGTATGATTTCACCATGAAAAAAAAAAACTGAGTTTGGGTGTAGTCTTCTTGCTAGGTTTCATGCTTTAGAGCACAGTGAGTTAAGAAAGACAAACTTTTAGAGGACAAACTGTGAAAAAGCAGCCTCTTACTGAGGGATGCAGTGGGAGGATCCAGGAGTAGAGCAGGGGGTTGAAAGAAGAGACAAGATTTGGTAGAAGAACATCTAAATGCCTTTGTCATAAAGGTCCAGTGCACGTGGGACCCAGGCAAGAGCAGCCATGCCTGTAGCTGGGGGAGGACTCTCTGCTCCTCCCCAAACCAGGTGAGTTTCCTCTCTATGTTCATGACCCACCTTTCTTCATCCTTCTCTGTTCCTCCCTCACAGTGACGAAGCTGCAGGTGAGCAAGTCGAAGCGGAGCATCACTCTGGTGGAGAACCGGCCCATTCCCCTCAACTGCTCCGTGAAATCCCAGACCAGCCCCGACTCGCACTTTGCCGTGCTGTGGTACGTCCACAAGCCCTCTGACGCCGACGGCAAGCTCATCCTGAAGACCACCCACAGCTCGGCCTTTGAGTACGGCACCTACGCGGAGGAGGAGGGGCTGCGGGGCCGGCTGCAGTTCGAGCGCTCGGCGTCGGGGGGGCTCTTCAGCCTGACGGTGCAGCGGGCAGAGGTCCGAGACAGCGGCAGCAGTGGAGGAGTGGCTGCTCAGCCCCAACCACGCCTGGTACAAGCTGGCAGAGGAGGTGTCAGGGCGGACGGAGGTCACCGTCAAGCAGCCAGGTACCATGTGCCACACCAGTGGGGTCCTATTGGCATCGGCTGTTGTGTGTGACTTGTGAGCTCGCCAAGCTTTTCTGGAGCAACAGGGATCCTCTGCTCTTCTTTCTACAACAGCCTTGTCACCCCCCTCCTTGCATCCTCATGCCTGCACGTCCCTGCACAAAGAATGACATTTCTGCCTTTTGATGTGTCCCTCCTCCATTTAGGCTAGGTTTCTGTGCATTTCAGTATCCCCACGTGAAGGTTGTCTGTCCCTCATGGTCTAGAGGGCCACTGTATCCAGCCAGGTTTTTTTATTCTCAAGAGCATCATGTAGCAAGAGTGTCGACTAGCGACCTGCTGAGAGAGAGCCAGCATGTGCCTGCCTGCCTGGGAAAGCATTTTTATATTTTGCACACAGCTCAGTTTTACTCTGTGCCTGTATCCTGTCAGGTGCAGGGAGCCTTGTCTGTTTTCCTTCTGCGCTGTGCACATGAGATGTGAGTAAGAGTAACAAGTTTAATGAGGTGGCTGCCAGGAAAGGAGAAATCTGCTCTGCTGGTGGTTTCCGTGGCAGCAGACATCACTGATATGAAGGTGGGCTGATGGAGGAGCTAAAGATGGCTCCCACAGGCTGGGGACAGAGTCCTCATTCTGTGCAAAGGCAGAGGAGGCAAGCACCATCTCTGAGAGCAGCCTGGACCCCATGTGTGCTGCTGAGGCAGAGCATCGGTACTTCACAAGGAAGCCTGCCTTGTCCCCGCTTGCACCGGGTGCCTGTTTCTGGAGGATAAAATCCCTCAGGCAGGAGAGGGATGCACCTGGATAGCAGGGTTGGACTAGAATGCTCTGTCTGGATTTGGCTGGCTAGACGTAAACTTTGCGGATGGGGTGCGAGAGGGACCATTGTGCTGGTCCCCAGCGCAGCTTTGCCTAATTGCACAGGGAGCGCAGCAGGCCAGAGCGTGCCGCTCCCTGCCAGTCCCAGGTCCTTGTTTCTGTCTGCAAAGTCCCAAGATGTTTGTGAGGCAGTCAGGGAGGGGAGCGCTGTGATCTTCCCCTTCCTTTTCCATCCCCCACCTCTCTATGGGAAGTATGGTGCCTGTTGCTGGCTGCAGAAGCCGTACCAGAGGCCCCTGGAAAGAAGTTGTGAAGGAGTTAGGAGTGTAAAACACGTCACTTCACATAAAAGAGCTGATTGCAGTCACCCCCCACGCCCCCCATGTATGAATGAAATTGTGGAGCAAAAACCAGGGACGTTCCCAAGGCAGCAAAACACCACGTGTGACTTTGCCCTCATGCCACTTCTCGTTTTGCAGTGGTGGTTCTCTGTAATCAGCCGTCCATTCTCCGCCTTGCTTTTTTCCCACGACAGGACAGCTTACTGGTCGGGCTGTGACCAGGCTACTGCCCTGCCCCAGGAGGAGGATGAGGAAAGACTGAGGTGCGACCTCCCTTCACAAGGTGTCTGTGCATTTAGGACCCTCCCGAGGTCCTACTGGGAGATTGTGGGTTTCCAGTTCACTGTGCTGAATGGGGCGTTGTTGGTGGCTAGCTTGAGATTTTCAGAGACCTTAAAAAACAAGTCCTATTTTCTTTTCCTCCTTTTTTTCCCCGCCCCCATGATTTTTTTTTTGCCTCCCTTTTCTCATTTCTTTCATCATGCCCCAGGATTATGGCCATGTGGGAAGGGCTTGTGGGGAGACAAAGGATCCTTGCAGCCCTCAGTCACCTTGCATTTCTGATGGCTTTTCCCATAGATAACCGCCTGCAGGTGAACCAGACCCACAAGAACATCACAGTGCTGGAGAACCAGTGGGTGACCCTGGAGTGCCTGATCAGCAGCCGGACCAGCCCCTCGTCCCAGCTCTCGGTGGAGTGGTATGTCTGGCGGCCAGGCCACCCGGAGAAGGAGGCAGTGGCTCGGCTGAGCCGACAGAGCACCCTGCGCTATGGCGACCTGGCAGCGCTGGGCGACCTGCGGAGCCGGCTGCACCTGGAGAGCCCGTCCCCGGGTCTCTACCTCCTCTCCATCCAAAACGCTACCGTGCGGGACAGCGGGGCATACAACTGCCGCGTGGAGGAGTGGCTTCTCGACCCCAGTGACCGCTGGTACAAGCGGGCAGAGGACCTTTCCGGACTCATCACCCTCACTGTCAAGCAGCCAGGTGAGGAGGATCTCATGCCAACAGCTCTGAGCAGCGCTCTGCCCTCTTGGACCAAACGCATGAGTCTCCATCTGTCTGTCATTGACAGTGGGTCCGGGCAGAGGGCGGGACCGCTGTGCTACAGACTGTGCTGATGCTTTCTTGCGTGTCTTCTTGGGTGCACCCTTGCTTTTCTGGAAGAAGCATAGAACAAGTCCTGCAAACACAGCTAGATGGCCTTGGGATTTTGTCACCACTGCATCTGCAAAGTTCTTTTTTTACAACACTTGTGGCAGATTTGGTAGGATAGGCTTCCAATTTTGTTCACATTTTGATTGAGAATGAGATGGGAGAAGCTAGCTGTGCTTCCCAGGCGTGCACCCCAGGGGCAAGGTCCTTGCATCAAAAGAGGGCAGCAGAGGAGGTAGAGACCCTTGCTCGTGTCCAGGAAATTTCTCACACGGCTGCTCCCTGTTCTGCGGATGAAGAAGCAGATACAGGGTGTGCAGCTCCAAGGGTTCATCTGTCAGTTGGTTTGAGGGCTCAGGATCCTTGATGGGGCAGGAACTGGCTATGAGGAACTTGCCTCTATATGGACAAGGAGGTGCTTACAGACTTCCTGGGCACCCTCTTGCTGGTGATAGTGGTTCACATGGATCCTGCTGCCTAACACCACCATTTTGGCTGTGCCCAAACACAGGGAGGCAGGCATCAGGGATCACCGCAAGTGCTTCTTGTTCTTTCCAGGTTCTAGTGGGGAAAAAAGTGCTACAGAAGTTCAAACCAGGGACGAAACTCCAGTTTCAAATGGTTGTGAATAGAATAGAATAGAATAGAAGGATAGGATAGCGTAGCGTAGTGTAGTGTAGCGTAGCGTAGCGTAGCATAGCATAGCATAGAATAATTTCAGTTGGAAGGGACCTACAATGACCATCTAGTCCAACTGCCTGGCCGCTTCAGGGCTGACCAAAAGCTAAAGCATGTTGTTAAGGGCATTGTCCAAATGCCTCTGAAATACTGACAGGGACGGGGCATCAACCACCCCTCTCTCTAGGAAGCCTGTTCCAGTGTTTGGCCACCCTCTCAGTAAAGAAATGCCTCCTAATGTCCAGTCTGAACCTCCCTTGGCACAGCTTTGAACCATTCCCACCCTTTGTATCACTGGATTCCAGGGAGAAGAGATCAGCGCCTCCCTTTGCACTTCCCCTCCTCAGGAAGCTGTAGAGAGCAATGAGGTTGCCCCTCAGTCTCCTTTTCTCCAGACTAGACAAACCCAAAGTCCTTAGCCACTCCTCACAGGGCATTCCTTCCAACCTTTCCACCAGCTTTGTTGTCCTCCTCTGGACTCATTCAAGCATCTTCACATCCTTCTTACATTGTGGGGCCCAGAACGGCACCCAGTACTCCTGGTGTGGCCTGAATACAGCAGGATAATCACCTCTTTTGACCAGCTGGTTATGCCATGTTTGATGCACCCCAGGATGAGGGTTGCCCTCGTGGCTGCCAGGGCACACTACTGACTGATATTTGAGTCTGCTGTCAACCCGCACCCCTAGATCCCTTTCTGTAGGGCTGCTCCCCACCCACTCCTTTCCAAGTTTGTACTTGTGCCCAGTGTTACTCTGTCCTAGGTGCAGAATCTGGCATTTGGACTTGTTAAATTTCATCCCATTAATGACTGCCTCGTTCTCCAATCTATCTAGATCCAATCTATCTAGCACCTCCCAGTTTGGTATCATCAGTAAACTAATGCTAATGGTGCATTCAACTCCTACATCCAGATCATTGATAAATACACGGAACAGAACTGGCCCCAGAATTGAACCCTGAGGAATGCTGCTGGTGACCTGTCACCAGCCAGCTATAGCCCCATTCCCTACAACCCTTTGAGCTCAGACCTTCAGCCAGTGCACCATGAACCCACTCATCCCACAGTTGGGCAGTTAGAAGGATGCTGTGAGGGACAGTATCAAAAGCCTTACTAAAATCCAGAAAAACTACATCCACCGCCTGCCTTTCATCGACTAGGCAGATGATCTTATCATAGAAGGGTATCAAACTTGTTAAACAGGACTTTCCCTTTGTGATCACAGAATGTCAGGAATTGGAATGGACCTCAAAAGGTCATCTAGTCCAACCCTCCTGGCAGAGCAGGACCACCTAGAGCAGGTCACACAGGAACGCATCCAGGCGGGTTTTGAATGTCTCCAGAGAAGGAGACTCCACAACCTCCCTGGGCAGCCTGTTCCAGTGCTCTGCCTCCCTCAGAGTAAAGAAGTTCCTCCTCATGTTCAAGTGGAACTTCCTGTGCTCCAGCTTGTGCCCGTTGCTCCTGGTCCTGTTGCTGGGCACCACTGAGAAGACCCTGGCCCCGTCCTCTTGACACCCACCCTTTAGATAGCTATAAGTGTTGATAAGGTCCCCTCTCAGCCTTCTCTTCTCCAGGCTAAAGAGCCCCAGGTCTCTCAGCCTTTCCTCATAAGAGAGATGCTCCAGCTCCTTAATCATCTTCGTAGCCCTCCGCTGGACTCTCTCCAGTAGCTCCTTCTTGAACTGGGGGGCCCAGAACTGGACACAGTACTCCAGGTGTGGCCTACCAGGGCAGAGTAGAGAGGGAAGATGACCTCCCTCGACCTACTGGCCACACTCTTAATGCACCCCAGGATGCCGTTGGCCTTCTTGGCCACCAGGGCACAGTGGTGCTGGCTCATGGTCATCCCGTTATCCACCAAAACTGCCAGGTCCCTCTCTGCAGAGCTACTCTCAAGCAGCTCAACTCCCAACCTGTACTGGTGTACTGGTCTTTAACAAGAGATAAGCTGCAAGGGGAATTTACCTTGAAAAATATGGATTACCTAGTTTTTGAGGCAAACAACTCAAGATTAAATGTCTGTCTTAAAGGCTGTAGGTCAAATAACACTTAGGGTCCTTATTTGCTTGGTGCTTTCCAGCATGTAAAGCAACCACTCTGCAAGTACTGCTACAATCCTTTATGCCTGCCCCTTCCAGCAAGGTGTCAGCCTCATAACTGCAACGAGTTGGCAAAAGGGTAAGATTCTGGAAAGGTTTTAGTGGTCATTCCTGGCAGAGAAGATTTGTACTGCAAAGGAGGAGCTCTCTCAGGGAACGGCACAGCCCTTATCTGCCAGGTCCTTGCTTGGGAAATTGCTGGCCAAGATGGCTTGAGCAGAGAGCCCCCTTAGGCAATCCCTGTACCCTGCATGCCCACACGGTTGTAAGTGCAGCTCTTCATCCAGGCTGAGAATTGCCAGCTCTGATGGAGAGTGGAATGAATGGCAGGGGAAATCCTTGAGGCTCATTTTGAATTCCAGAAGGATGTGGAATGGGAAGAAGAGGGGGAGTTAGGGGTGCACTAATTCAAGATAATTTTTTTCTAAAAGTGCTTTGTTGTTGTTTGGTTTTCTTTTGTGGCAGCCAGTAGCTAACAAAATGCCTAAACCCGAAAATAGCATAGCTTGTGACTCATGTCTTATTAGTGAGGATCTCCATGCTCATCTTTCAGGACTATAATTCTGAGCAAAGTAGGGGGAAAAAAAGTCTCAGCACCTTCAGACAGCAGTTCTCTTTCTGCTTCACCAGTTGAGGTGGGGGAGGCTTTGTGTTGGTTTTGACAAGCCATTTCCTTCCCTTCCTCCTTGTTACCTCCGTAGCACCCGAAATCTCAGGACTTTCCTCATTCCTGTTTCTGCTCAGGAGACTTCCCGGGGAAGATGTGAACTGAAATCACTCATGTTGCCTATGGCCTGAAGAGCTGTGGCCTTAATAAAGATTTTCCTTATGGGACCACTTAAAAAGTGTAGGGCAGGTGCTGTAATGGGGAGCCCTGCTGGGTACAGCAGCCCCATGGCTGATGAGAGCTGGGGGACAGCAGCCCCCTCCTGCAGGGACACCCAGGGTCTGCACAAGGAGGACTTGCCCAGCTATCTTTGCTGGAAGAGAAGGCACCTCTCTCTTCTGTGAGCTATCGGCTTGCCCTTTTGCTCAGCTCCCACGTCAGAAAGGGCTTTTTAATCTTTAAATGAAAGCTTAGATCCAGACTGATTGCGATCCCTGGAGTATGTGTTCCCTGGCAAGATGACTAAACCAAATGTTAATTGCTCTTGAAGTCAGCCTTTAATCAACTCATCTTGGGCTCTGGCCGCTGTAGCTCAGTTAGGTAAAAGCATCTCTTTAGCCTTGCAGCAAGCACTAGAGAAAAAAATGAGAGAGGGAGACTTTTGGAAGTGTCCTTGCTTCTCCATGGAGGAGCCTCTTCCCTACATAACTTCCCAAAGTGCTGGAAAAAATCCTCTCCTCTTCTGTCATACCGATTTTCAAGTCCTTTCAGTGCTCTCAAAGAAATAAAAAATAAGGATGGAGTGCAATGCTGTTTGCACTGGTAGTTGGGGAGTAGTAGTACATTGCTCCTCAGCACACGTACCAAACCTCAGTATTTCCTGACATGTTCTTGTAGTGCATCTGGATGAGCTGCAGCAGCTTTCTCCTCTCACACCCATACCCATGAGTTGGTGCAAGGGTCTGTGTGGGCAGGGCAGTAGCACAGAGCTCGCAGCCAGCTCCTGTTTGACCCTGCGCCAGGCGGTGTGTGGTGAAGTGAGGGTGCTGCACCTGCGGGGTTGACCACAGAGGTACCTGTGGCACTTGCCAGGCTGCATCAAGCCTTTGGGTTTTGCTTGGATCACACCCAGCACTGGACTCATGACAGCCAGTTTGCACCGGGGCAGGGTGGCTTTGATGGCAGCATTTTGCTCAGCCCTCACCTCTCCCCTTCTGTCATCTCAGATCCCACCTTGCAGGTGGACACGGCCACCGCCAACCTCACAGTGCAGGAGAAGGAGTCCTTCCCACTGGACTGCAGCATCCTGTCCCGCTCCAGCCCAGAGTCCCACTTTGCGGTGACGTGGTACAACCTGCGGGCCAAAGAGGCGGCGGGCAGCCACACAGAGGAGGAGGAGGAGGAAGAGGAGGAGGAGAGGGAGGCGGTGCTGAGCGTGGGCCCCGACGCCATCTTCAGCCCCGAGGCTGATCGCTGGGAGGGCCGCCTGCGCTTCCAGAGGCTCTCGGCGGTGCTTTTCCGGCTGACGGTGCTGCAGGCCAGTGGTGCTGACACGGGTAACTACTCATGTCGTGTAGAGGAGTGGCTGGCGGACCCCAACGGCGTGTGGTACCGGCTGGCAGAGGAGGAGTCGGGGACGGTCGCTGTTCACGTGCAGGATGCAGGTGAGAAGGGGCGATGACCCTCTTGGGGACGTGGCCCTGGCATCCCCAGCGTCTTTGGTTCAACCAAGATAAAAAAGTCAAGGAGAGAGTGGGACTGGGACTGCAGCGGGGCAAATCTGTGGTGCTGGTGCTTTTCCAATCAGCTCGATGGCTTATAGCTCAGCTCTTGCTTGTTTTTGAGGATCTGCACTGCACTTAGCTCTGTACTGGGGCTGCCCGCCCCACAGCACTTGCTGCCTGGTGTGTCTCAAGTCAGTGGGGGCGGACGTTGACCCCCACTGGGGTTTAACCCTTCCCTTTGGAGACACCCTGGAAATTGGCTTAGCTCTGCACAAGGGTGCAGGCTGTGGCACAAGGGTCTCCTCCCAGCAACTCTTGAAACCATCGGCTGGTTTAGAGGCCTCAGAGATAACGGAGGTCCTGAGAGTTTTGTGGGCCCTTAAGGGAGATACCCTGGAGTGCTGTTTCTGTGTACCACCACTGAGGGAATCAACGCTTTGTGAGCATCCCTGCTTTATAAGATACTATAAAATCTGCACCAGGGAGGACTCTAGCACTCACAAAACTCTTGGGGGGATAAAGCCAAAACATGCCATGCAATAACTTCCTTCTGCTACTCTTTTTTTCCAATATTGGTATTGTTCTCAGAACCCCACCTCCTGCATTGACACAGATAAATAAGCATCTGGTTTTTTATCATTCTGAAGAAGTTTGTAGGCCCTGCATTGCAGAGAGGCCATGAAATGTGACCATCCTATGTCTCTTTCCAGGCTCCACCCTGCAGTCTGTCATCTGTTCCAACGATGCCCTCTTCTACTTTGTGTTCTTCTACCCCTTCCCCATCTTTGGCATCTTGATCATCACCATCCTCCTGGTGCGGTTCAAGAGCAGAAACTCCAGCAAGAACTCAGAGGGCAAGAACGGGGTCCCCTTGCTGTGGATCAAAGAGCCTCACCTCAACTATTCTCCCACTTGCCTTGAGCCGCCAGTCCTCAGCATCCACCCAGGAACCATAGACTAAAGAGGCAGAGGCGCCCAGGGGACACAGAGAGAGAGAGAGAAGCAGAGACACACCGGGAACCCTAAGGAACAGAGTGGGTTTTGTTGTTCTTGTTTCATTTGTTTCAGCGTCTGTGCTCCGATGTGGCGGCTAAGCTCTGCGGAGCACCCAGCTGGCGGGACAGGAAGGTCCGAGGCTTCCTGCAGCACCTGTGGGAATGCACCCCCCTCACCCCGACAGACGGAGGGTCCCTGTGCTAGCTGTACATAGGAGATGTTCCTCTTGGATTAATTTTGCTCCCATCAGTTGCTGTCTTTTGGGCCGTTACTTTTTTGTTGTCGATTCTTTTTCAGTCACTCAGAAGAACTGTAAACTTCCCTTGCCTGCCACACAGCGAGGAGTTCCCAGGTGGGCATTTGGTCCTGGGATGATCTCTTCGGAAGTAAATGTATATGTTTTCCAGAACAGACTGGTTTTCCTCCTCAGACTCGGTGCCACGGTGAAGGTCTTTTCCCAAGGCGCAGTGAGCTAGCTCCTCCCTCTTCCAAAACAGACAAAGCCAGGTCCACCTCCAGAGGGGTCATCTGGGCTATCAGGAGGAGTTCCATCTCAAGGACTGGCTGTAGCCTCAGCATCTTCTTGCCTCCATCTTAACTGTTCTCTCAGGAGGGAGCAATTCACCTTTTGGGAGCACTCCCATGTCTTGGAGAGACTGATTATTCAGCACGCTTGCAGTTAGGACAAAAGCAATTCAGTTTGTCTCCGAGAACTGAAGGGGGGGGATGGAAGGAGAACACCTGAAAGCCCTGACTTTGTTGGTAGCAATGAGGGTCCTCGTACGGTCCAGCTTACCAGAGTCGTGCCCCTCCCTGGTGTCCATGCTGCCACCTCTGATGAGGTGGGTCCCCTCTGTGCCCCAGTCACCTGGGAACAGGTGTCTGGATCCAGTCTCTGAAGAATTCAACATGACCAAAGTAATGACTCTGGGAAGGGGGAAGCTCCACCGGCTGGGTTCATGGCCCCTGGGTGGTTCAGGCACTGAGCCCAGTAGCAGCCATGTCACGCAGTGGGGACATGAAGTTAACCACCATGTCACAAGTTTCTCTGCGGCTTGCAATACTTTCCAGCGTGAGCTTGGACAAGGCAAGGAGCCTGCACCGCACTGGCACCCTGGGGGCTTCCCTGCCCCCTTGGGCCAAAAGAAATCTTCCCGTGTGTGTGTGTGTCCATCTGCCATTTTTTGTTTCTGGGGCTTTAGGAGGAGAAACCTTTCTCCATAAGCTCCCCTTCCTGGCAAAGTCACCTGCTCTCGTCGTAGGCAGTCGCTGTGGCAGGAAATGCTGTTCTTTCTGTGAAAGATATGGCTCTCATGAACCAAACTAGGGCTCTCGCCGCATGGGGCACCTGAGCTCCCGTACCCCGTAATGCCAAGTACCCCTGCCCTCTCCTGTGGAGGAAACCGCCTCCTCCCCCATACGCCCTAAGCGTTACGTCTGGCGGAAGAAAATGTTTGCCAAAAATGGCCTTTTGTTGTCTTCCTTGATGTCTTCCTGGCAAATCCGGCCATTTATTTTTTGCAGCATGGCTGAAGCCAACTGGGGCGGATGGGCGCAGCCACAAGACCCCCTTGCCTCGTGTGTGAGAGGTGCCATACGCACAGCCGTTGTCCTCTTCAGGAGGGTCGGACTACTCTTTGTGAAGAGAAGGGGACCTCAGCAGATGCTCTGTAGCACTAGTCGGTTAGACCCCGATGCCTTGATGTTTCAGAGGTGGCGAAGCCTCGGGTGGGAGATAGGCACTGCGCATCCTCTCTCCCAGCTGGGAGGGGACCCACATGGCCGCGAACCATCGGGTGCCAGGGCGTTCAAAGTCAACCACCTCTGCTCCTCCACCAGAACGGCATTGGTTTCTTCTTCCGCTGGGAAGCCCAAATTTCACTTACCCCATGCAAAGTCTGCCTCCTTGAGACATACCTGCTTACTGGGCCCAGCATATGCATAATATTGCACTCCTATATATACATGTATCACACACACCCACACACTTGTCTTCCCTTTCTGGATAAGGCATCTGCAAAGAGAGGAGTGGGATGAAAAGTGAATGGAAATGAAAAACTGAGGCACAAACAGCAGCAACTGCACCCAGTGGGTATTGTTTCATAAATGTAGTATCTCCTGTACGTACTGCTCCTGGGCAGGCACTGCAACTCATTTCAGCTTTAAAGGAAAAAAGAGAAAATTGAGTCAGCGGGAGCCGTTCTTTCCTGGGAGAGTGCTGTGCTGCGTCCAAGCCACATTCGTCCTCGCCAGCCTGTCTGCCCTGGAGCGGGGCTCTCCTGGAGGGCTGTCCTGTGGCCCTGTCCCCCTGGCCGAAACGGGTCCCTTCCCAGCCCGGCAGTTCCTGCACCGATCCCAGGCTTTCCTGGGAAGCGGCTCCCACAATGGTCCCTGAATGTACTGTGCCGGTGACATTTCTCCGTTGCTCTGGCAGTGTGTTGCCCAGTCTCAAACTTCTGTTTTTATAAGGCAGATTGTTCCTGTAATGAGTTTTAACACAAAGCTTTTCAAACCACTCTCTCTGCTGTAACTTCCTGTAACAAACTCGAGACAAAAGAGAGATACCCTGTCCATGCATGAGGTGGAAAAATGTTTGGGATTTTTTTTTAAAAACAACAAAAACTTTGTACTATGTTGCACTAAAACATGTTTTATACAACACACCTGAGAGCTGTAGTAAACCGTGTTGAAATTGTGAATCCTATTGCTGCTGGTTTTTGTCACATTTAGGCTTTCATTATGCCTTTATGTGCACTCCCTGCACAATGGTGTGCTGAACCCCCACTTTTAGGCAGCCTCTCCCTCTCCCACCACCCCCATTCCCTGATGAATTGTTTCCTCCCGCCCCAGTAGTGCATCTCTTCTCTCTCACAGGCTGGAGCTTGCGGACAGCTTGCACTCTCTGGCTCTTCATACTTCTCCCTCCTATCCCTTAATTCATCCCATAATAGAATACAACATTTAACGGAGGCACGTCAGGTCTATTTATTGAATGGGATACACCATTTTTGAAATTGCTCTGAAAATAGTTAAGTACTCTGCTGTCATAGTCTGGATTTGAAGAAAAAAGACTTTTTTTTTTAGAATTATCCATGGCAGATGTTAAGCAAATAATCTTTAGTAACCCTGATGTAAGTGGAAGAACACAGTTCACTACAGAAGTTCCTTAACTTCATGTAAAATGCAACCTGTTAATTCTCATTACTCACTTTTGCCTTGAACAACGGTTTGGTCAGTAGTCTTGGACTCCCACGGTAACTGACGTAGGGAAGTGGCGTGATACTGTATGGCAAAAGCACTGTGAAATTGTGCAAAATTCACTGCTGATGCAGCTGTAAGGTTGGGTTTGGTTTTTTTTTTTTTCCCACATTCGTTTAAAACAAAAAATATCCTCTGCTAAAATAACTGTATGAGAAAACTCTGTTGTCCCCGGAAACAACAGGCTGCTTGCCCTGGCCCTGCTCTCCCCACTAGGCTGTCTTGGGCTTCATCTGCTACAGCCTCTGTGCCAAGGAGCAGAGGCTTCAGCTCAGTGCTAGATGGCAAGCGGTGTCCCCTGCTGACGGTACCAGGCAGCGAGCTCAGGTCAGCCATCGCAGGTTTGTCGGGAGGCATCTGCCAGTCCTTGACCCGGCTTTGGCATGCTCGTATGGGCAGGACCCTGGTTTGGGGCAGCTTGAGTGGGTTTTGCTGCCTGTCCTGCTGCTGGAGCATGGCTAGCAATGGTGCAGCGGGTGCTGCTGCGCCCCTCGAGGACCAGACTGT